TACAGAAGTTTGCAAGCACGAAATTTGTAGAAGATCATTTGACCGAGAGACGCTTGACCGGGTAAACATACATACATACATACATACATACATACATACATACATACATACATACATACATACATACATATATGCTTTTAGGGAAATGGAGGGGTTATTGTCGAACAAAAATGCTCATAGTGTCACATTCCTTTCGCCATGGCAATCAAATTCAATTATTTATTGATTAGTGGTTGATGTTTAACGCACCCTTTCGTTGCTGCAGTTACAATCGCAACTTTCCCTTCGAGTCGTCGGCAGCTCGTCATTTCTCTGGAACCGAGAAAAATGTTATGAAATCAACAGCTTGAGAAAGACTACTGAAGAGAATGAAAGGAATGGCTGCAAGGAATAGTTCAAAAAAAATGGAAGTCATTCAGCCAGGCGGCGCAACGCTGAGGTCAAGTCATGCTTGATAAGGCTACACTGTAGCCTTTTATAATCAGCGTTCCTTTCACTTTCATCACACTTATTAGAACGACTATAGGAGGAAATATAAGCGATCACTGAAGAAGCTTTCCAGAAAGGTCGTCTAAAAGAGCAAAGAAGGGAACTTCAACTTCGTTTACGGAATTATTCAAAACTTAGCTACAGGTGGAATTTGGGTAATCGATTAGATGTTCACTTCGACCATTTCTCACCTGAGTGAATGTTGAGGGTTGATATGTGGTGTATGTGGAGGGAGTCGGTATTTGTGTCCAATTGTAATTACTTCGCACCTTCCTCGTCCATCCTTCGCACCTTCCTCGCCCAGCCCTTCACTCACCTGTGGGGTGACCCTCCTTAATTGGTTGGCTAGTGACCTCTCGGGCAGTCTCAGTGTACTCATATTGATTTTATGAATTGAACTCTTTATCATTAATATTGTTAGTAGTAATATTAGTATTATTCTTATACATTTTAAAATAATATGCGGTAAGGACACGACAATGTAAGAATTCAAAATCTTCATATAATATTGAAACTATGTAGACTTATCTGTGACGTATCTAGACATTCTTCCCCATTTTGCTTACCTGCCTTTCGCCAACATATGTTGGCTCTTGGATGTGTCCATTTGTAGTAGCCGTAGCTGCCTCTAGGCTCTCGGAAAACGTAAGGTTTTGGTTTACAGAGTTCACATTGCTTGCGGGTGCTAAGGGTACATGAAAGGAATTCGCAGCTACAGCACTCGAGGAAACAGAAAGTGGAGGTGCAAGGGGTAGAAGGGGTGCAGATACATGAAATAGAGGTGGTACGGTGTGTTATGGTGGGCTAGCTAAATATAGGGATTCGGAAAAATAAGAAGGAGCAACAGGAGCAGGTATTCCCGAATTGAAGCCGAGAAGGTGCTGCGGTCGAATTCGGAGTAGTGCAAGTCAGACATTGTGCTCATGCGATAACAAACACAGTACAGAGGTGATTTATGATGCTTTCATCCACATGTTTAAATACCTTCGAATGACCTACTGGCGGTGTCCAAACAAAGCGATACAGGGTGTCAAAAAAGTGTGAAAGGTCACCCTGTTAACTAGTTTGCCTACAGGCGTCTTGTGAGAATGAATGCTGAATCCTTATACAATGCGATAAATTCTTTTCCCCTTTTTTATGATATTTCCAATGTTTATTTTAGCCTCCACACCTTCTT